CATACCAAAGATATTTCAAAATATAAGAAATGTGTTTAATGAAATATGTTTAAACATATAATAATATGTTTAAAGAGAACTACCTCATAGTATTTTTTCTTTTTATATATTTTATTTATTTTTATTTTGAATATATTGCCTGCATGTATTCGTGAGTGCCCCCATGTCGTGTAATGCCACAGAGGTCAGAAGAGGGCTTCAAATTCCCCTGGAACTGGAGTTAAGAGTTCATAGCTACCATGGGATGCTGGGAATTGAACTCGGGTCCTCTGCAAGGGCATCAGTGCTCTTAACTATTGAGCCATCTCTCCAACCCCTTCATACATAGTATTTTTTCATATGAAGTAATACATACTCAGAGACATTTTAGAATCCATCCATCATTAAAAGACAGTATTGCTAATATTACTTTGAGATATTTCCCATTAGTTTCTCCCTTCTCATGATGAGTTTTATATTTAACAAATACTTTTTGGACTTTTGTGTGCCTAGTGCTGTCTTAGGTAGCAAATAGAGAAAAATCCATGTCCTTCTAGAACTGATAGTCTGAGATCATAGGTTTTAAATGTGTTTATAATTTTATATCCTGATAATTTTATAACTCATAATGTTAGTGCAGATATTTTTAACAGCTGCACAATAGTTCCTTATATGGACATAATCATAATTTATCTTAGTTCCTCCCTAATGTTATTTTCTCTACAAATATAGTCTTCACTTACTAGGGTCGTCACTGTAAAAAGAACTTTAAATTACAATTACTTATTTGGAGGGTGAGGCACACATGTGGAAGTCAGGACAACTTGTAGGAGTCTCTTCTCTCCTGCCATGTGGGTCCCAGGGATTGATCTCAGGTCATCAGGCTTGGTAGTAAGTGCCTTTACATGCCAAGCCTACTTGCCAGCCCTGAAATACCATATTTTTGCTTTACTAAAATCAGATCTATCCTGTTATATACTCACCAAATAGAGTTGGTTATTCTGTACAACTAATTCCCCCTTCCTCTTTGCATCCTGACAATTCAGGGTAGTTTGGAACCTAATCAGGAAAGGACATTCTAATCTTTCACCACCTACATTCTGGTTATTGACATATCTAAATAGATAAAGGGGAGTTAGAGCCAGGCATGGTGGCACACACCTTTAGTCCCAGCACTCGGGAGGCAAAGGCAGGTGGATCTCTGTGAGATCAGGGCCAGCCTAGTGTACATAGCGAGTGGAAGGCCAGCTGGGGCTACAGGGTCTCAAAAAGACCGAAGGGGGGAAAAAAAAAAGGTAACAGACTTTCTTGGGAGTAGGATCTTTAAAATTTTGCTTATTTTTGGTAGTACCAGGGATTAAACCCAGGGCCTCATATGCTAGGCAAGTATTCTACCACTAGGCTATATCCCCAGTTGGGGTAGTAGGATTTTTTAAAAGAATTTATCAGAGCAAGGTTCTTACCCTTATTGTTTCAACATCATCCTGCCACATTGCTGCAGATACCCTGAAAGGATGAGAGTATTGATCTTGGTTTGTTTGAATCCTGTACTATCATCCCAGCATTCACCTCTCATACTTTCTGTCCTTTCCACTGTAATAAGTTGAGCTAAACTCCCTTCTTTGGGCCTGTACTTAACCAATCAGAAGTCCTTTGAAAAGACTGACTTTTCGGGGCTGGAAAGATGGTTCAATGGTTAAGAGCACTGGTTGCTCTTGCAGAGAACCTGGGTATGATTCCCAGCACCCACATGATGCCTAAACAACCGTTTGTAACTTCAGTTTCAGGGGAATCTGACACCTTCTTCTGACTTCCAAAGATATTACACAACATGGTGCACTTACATAATGCAGGCAATATACTCATACACAAAATAAAGTATTTTTAATAAGAAAAAAATTTAAAAATTAGATTGACTTCTAATTTCTTATTCTAATCTAAAGTTATTGAAAGAGTATGGCATAGTCACATACTTGTAATCCTAGCACTTGGGAGGAGGTAATAGGACAGGTAACTTGAGGCCAGCCTGGGCTACATAGGGAAAGTCCATCTGAAAAAATAAAATAAACCCAAAAACTTTTCCAAAGCTTTAGACCACAGGGCTTGGAGTAGGAGAAAGGAATTTGTGTTTTGGTTCAGATGTCAGTATTTTGACTAAATTTCAGAAATGGAATTAATGGTTCTAAGGATATAAACAGATGCCTTCTTTGTATTTTCAGATCAGAAATACTTATATTTGTAGTCACATAAGTGAGTTTTTTTGTTTCACTGCCCGTCAATACTAATATAGCAAATGTTTCTCAATGCTTCATAATACATTTCTTCAGAACTTTCCCTCGTATACTTGATTGCTTCTTTCTTTTTTTAAGATAGGGTCTCACTATGAGCCCCAGCTGGCCTGGAACTCAACCAGGCTAGTCTTAAATTCTGAGATCTGCCTGTCTTTGCCTTCTGAGTATGGGGATTAAAGTGTGTGTGCCACCATACTCAGCCTTGATTAATAATTTTTAAATTATTGATTTTTTTGTCTCATGTTTTTTTTGCTCATTTTTAGGTACTTTCATAAGTTCCTTATATCAAAATGAGCATTTTTTTTCAAAAACATATACATAATTTAAAAATTACATTTGTCCATTCTATGTCTTTTTTTTTGGTGGTGCACACCTTTGATCCCAGCATTTGGAAGCAGAGGCAGGTAGATCTCTGTGAGTTAAAGGCCTGCCTAGTTTACAAAGTGAATTCCAGGCCAACTAGGGCTACATAGTGAGACCTTGTTTCAAAAAACAAAACACACACATATACACACACACACAGAATGATACAAAAGGAATGTAGCAGCTGGACATGGTTGCAAAAATTTGTAATCCCAGCATATGGAAGGTACAAGCCAATCATCAATTATAGTGAGTTCAAGGACAGCCTGGGCTACTTGAGACCCTCCCTGTCTCAAAAACCAAAACATGAACAAGCAAAAATCAGTAGATCTAAATGTGAATGTTAAACAGTTGGGGAAAAAAAGGGAAAGTAAGGCTGGCCAAGTGGTGGTTGCATACCTTTAATCCCAACACTCAGAAGGCAGAGGCAGGCCAGATCCCTGTGAGATAGAGGCCAGCCAGGTCTGCGTAGTGAGTTCCAGGCCAGCTACAGGGAGACCCTGTCTAAAAGAAAGAGAGAGAAATATAAGACTGGGGTGTATGTATGTTATGTGCTCAGTTGGTAGAGTTCATGCCCAGAAATCCTGTTGTGATTCTCAGTACCTAATGAACCTGCTGTAGTGGCACGTGGCTTTAATCCCAGCTCTTGGGAGGTAGAAGCAGGAGGATCAGAAGTACAGGTCATCTTCAGCTACATAGGTCAATCTGTCTATGTGCAACAAGACACAGGTGTGGATGTCAGGGAACATCTGAAGAAATTGATCCCCAACCCCCACTGTAGTAAATTTTTTAAAAATTTTACTTTAACGAGATTATTTTTTTTAATTATTTATTTTTACTTTATGTGTATGAGTGTATTGCCTGCATGTATGTATGTGCACCGGTGTTGTGCAATGCCCTTGAAGGTCAGAAGAGGGTGTCGGATTCCCAGGAACTGGAGTTAGGGACAGTTGTTAGCTGCCATATGCGTGCTGGGATTCAAACCCTGGTCTTCTGCAAGAGCAGCCAGTGCTCTTAATTGCTGAGCCATCTCTCCAGCCCCCACATGTTTTATTTTTATGGCCAAGAGAAATTAATTTCATTCTAAAAATATTTTAATATGGGTATAGCTCAGTGGTTAGAGTGTGTACTTAGCATACATAAAATCCTAGGTTTGACCCTCAGCACATACATTCTCACACACAAATAAGAAAAATGAAAGAATATGTCAGGGGCAAATAATGACTAGCAGAGATAAATTTACCTAGAGGAGCCATTTTGGAGGTTCTTAAAATACACGGTGACAATATCTGTTGTTGAAGGCTACATTTTGCTTTCTCACAGAGCTATCAAGTCCCTTAATTTTTTTAAATATAGTTTAATTCAGTTTTTTTTTTTTTTTAATTTTAACTTCCCAGACTCTGATTTTTATCTCTAGATGGTCAGTTAGGTGTTTTACATTTTCTGTAGGGCACAGGTAAAGGCACACTGGGGCTGAAAAGAATAGTAGAAAAATGACGGAAAACCTCTTGGAGCCTGAGAATGGGGGCTGTAGAAGAGTAATAGAAAAATGATAGCAAACCCCTTGGTGCTGGGAATGGGAGAGGTCCAGCGTCAAGGCCTGGGTGCCCAGGACCACATGTACCCACATAGTTGACCATCAAGGGAGGTGGGAAGTCCATTTTTGATAATCAGTCCTCCCAAGACTAGAATCTGCAAGTGACAGAAACCCCCCCTGTCCCCATCATAAGCCCAATAAAGAGGCAAAGCCACTGCCATGTGCAACCTGGGACCTGGGGAAGGGGGTTGTGGGAAATACAGCCACTCAGAGAAGGCTGAAACTGCTGCCCTACATTGGGAAGTCCTCCATCCTCCACTCTGCCCCGAAATCAGCCCACCACCAGATGAATGTAGAACCATGGCTCGCGGCCGTGACCACAGCTCCAGGCTCATGGATGGGAGTGGAGAGAACAACAGCTCCAGGCTCATGGATGGGAGTGGAGGGACCACAGCTCCAGGCTCATGGATGGGAGTGGAGGGAACAACAGCTCCAGCTCGCCAGAGGGCTCATAATTTCAACTACGTTGGTTCATACTATTTTCTTGTCTCTATCACTCTGTACACATGATTATACTTGTGTTTAAGAAAGCATTTTGGCTTCTGTGCAGCAAACAGAGCAACAGTCACTTGCCAACTTGAATTTCTCTGTGAAGGGGCATCAATATTGGAGGAAACCACTTTTGCATTTTTGCTCAAGGAGGCAGATAAATTGTTTTCTTTTTCATGATCAAGGATCTGTTTGGCTTTGTTTTGTGTCTGCTATTTTCACATCTTCCTCCATAGCCAGGAGAAACAACTGATGAGACATCATCTTATCAGAGTCATGTTTTAAGTTCTTGGGTGTAAGGTCAGGGGCAGCAGCAGCAGGAATAGCCACAGGTAGAGGTGGCAGCTGTTCCTGAACTTGCTGTGCTCAGGGACATGGTACCAGCTGCCAGTGAGCACAGCCCACACGTCCTGCTGGGGCAGCTGCAGGACCTGGGATGCCATGCCTGCATGCCCAGGAGTTGGTTCTTTTCTTTCTACCATGTGGGTTCTGGGGATCAAACTCAGGTCATCAGGCTTTATACCCACTGAGCTATCTTGGCAGCCCATCTGAAAATATTTTTCAATGCTGTTTTCTGAATTTTATTTTTATTTGTAATTATGTGTATGTGCATGCGACATGTGGGTATGTGCAAGTGAGTCTGGGTATCTGCAGAGGCCAAAGGTTTTATTGGATGCCCTGGAGCCAGAGGTACAGGCAACTGTGAGCCATCTGAATCAAACCCCAGACTTCTACTAGAGTAGAAGATGCTCTTAACTGCTGAGCCATCTCTCCATTCCCAATGCTATTTGTTTTGTTTTTATTGTTTTTTGTGGTGCTGGGGATCAATACAGGTTTTTGCACGTTAGGCAAATGTTCTACTACTGAGATATACCTTTACTCCTATTACTCTTTATTACTATCAGTTTATGTTTTTGAGGTTAAGGTCTTAGTTATGTTGCTTAGGCTAGACTTGCCATGCTATGGCACCTGTAAATGCAAAGATTAGGTGCCAATAGCACAGCGCTCTTAAGTCATTAATTTATATAGTTATTTAATTCTGATTTTTTTTGGTCTTTTTGACACAGGGTCTCCCTGTAGCCCCAGCTGTCCTGGAACTCACTATGTAGACCAGGCTGGCCTTGAACTCACAGAGATCCACCTGCCTCTGCCTCCTGATTGCTGGGATTAGAGGCGTGTGCCACCACACCCGGTTTAATTCTGATTTTTAAAAATCTTTTTCATTGACATCTAGTGAATCTTCTAAAGTTAGTAAGTTTTCTGCTTTTTAAAAATAATGTTTTTTTGGCACATGCCTTTAATCCCAGCACTCAGGAGGCAGAGGTAGGTGGATCTCTGTGAGTTCAAGGCCAGCTGAGGCTACTGGGAGACCCTGTCTCAAAAAAAAAAAAAAGAAAAAAAAAAGTGTTTTAAAACAGGATCTCCTTGTAGCCCCAGCTGCCCTGGAACTCACTGTTCCATCTCACAGTCCCGTCTGCCTCTGCCTCCCCAGTGCTGGGATTAAAGGCTTGTGCCACCCTGCCCAGCCCATCTGGCTTTAAAAAAATATTAGTTTTGAGGATCTGAATTCCTGTCAGCAGGTTTGCACAGCAAGTGCTTTTACCTGCTGAGCGGTCTCACTGTATATTCTCATTTAATAGTTATGACATATCTAAGTAGTCAATGTCATTTTAGAGATAAAGAGACTGAAATATAATTTGCCAAGACCACAACCAGCAAATAGTAGAAGTTGGTGATAGTTGAGCCCAGATCTTTTTGGTTACATTTTTTTTCCACTCTCATTTTAAAGGTTGATCATGCTTCTCTTAACTTTACAGCAATTACCTTGTTAGTGTACATTAAAACTACTAGTTGAACTTGTTTGTGGACTAAAGATCAACATGATAAATTTTCAGTGTTTAATCTGGAGTTTGATTTGGCATCCTAAATATGTGTCGTTAAAATTAGGTCTCACTGTCTGCTTTTCATGACATTTTTAGTTGGGCTGCACTTTGGGAGATAAGTCACATTGTATGGTTTTCCAAGGACTTGCAAGAGGTAGTAAAAGAAAAAATGAGGATCTGTAAGTGAGAATGTGAAATATAGACAATTAAGCCAGAACACTGAGTCCTAATTATTGTGTAATGTTTATAAAAGACCTAGTCACACAGAGTTGGGTATTCAGAAATGTTAAAGATAAGATTGTACTAAATTATCTACTGGACCCTTATAACTATTCTTGATTATGTGCATTTGGCATCTCATTCCAGAATGGAATGTAGTGTTACTTTTAGTTACTTGGACTCTAACTCAGTGGTAAGAGTGCTTGCTTAGCATGCATGAGATTCAATCCCCAGTAGTTAGATTTTTTTTTTTAAATGATAGTTGCTAATCTCATTTGATAAACCAGTCTGCATCGTGGGGTTTTTTACCTAGTTCAAGAATCTGATTTGTTTCTTTGTGAGAGATAAAATAATTTTGTCAGTCAGGTGCTTATATTACTTTGTATTAATAGTGGCTTGCTAGAATCTTGAACTAGAGCTAAGTATAGGTAAGTAAGAGTGATTCATACATTAATTGTAGCACATGTACCACTCTAGTGAAGCATGTTAATAATAGAGGAGGCTGTGTGTTCTCAGGATCAAGGGGAAGGCTTCATACCTTCCTCTCAGGTTGACTGAATTTATAACAAATCCAAAGCAACAATGTCTTTGAGAAATGATTTCTAGAAATCAAAAGGAAATACCCATTGTGGGAACACTCATCATTAGAGCTTAGGATTGTGAATGACTTACTAGAAGAGATACTAATATGGGATATGACTCTGTGCGTGCGTGCGTGCGTGTGTGTGTGTGTGTGTGTGTGTGTGTGTGTGTGTGTGTGTGTGTTCCTGGGAATTGAACCCCAGGACTTTGTGCATAGTAGGCAAGTTCTCTGTCACTGATCTGCTGCCCACGAGTCATACATTTTTAAAGAAAATATTTTTGTTTGTTGTGTTTGAGACAGTGCCTTGTAGTAGAGGTTGGCCTTGAATGTCTAATCTTCCTTCCTTAACTTCCCAGATGCTGGGATTAGAGGTATGTGCCTGGCCCTTAAGAAGATTTATCAGAGTGTGGAAAAAAAGTGAAAGATTTGAAGAAAAAACTCTAGGTACATTTTTGTAAACTCTAGAACAAAAATTTTTAATTCTGAATAATACTTTTAGCAATCTAGTAGCACAAGTATTTACTTTCTGATATCATGGTGAATACCAATAGACATCATGAGGTCTGGGGGTGAAGTAAGATTGTAAAGATACTAACAAAATATGGTATTACTAGGAAATACAAAATACATACCTGAGTATCTTAGAACTGAGGGTTAAAACAGTAAAGGGGAATTAGTGTTTGGGGAATAAAAATTTGCAGGGTTTATTTTTTGGAGGGGAGCTTGCCATGTGTCCCAGGCTACTCTCAAAGTTGTCATCCTCCTGCCTCAGCCTCCAGAGTGCTAAAATTGCAAGCATGTGCCACTATGTTCAACTTAGTTGTATTTTTGAGTAGATGTGAACTTTGGCAGCTCTTATATTTGATATGCAAGTAAATTTTGTATTCATATTTAGAATTGTGTTAGGAAGGTAACTTAGGTATGTTATTGTGAGTTTAATATAAACACACACTTTTAAAGATGGGTTTGTTTATTTATTTATTTATTTTTATATGTATAAGTGTTTTGCCTGTGTACCTGGTGTGTATGCAGTGTCCATAGAGGCCAGAAATGTGATGGAGCTGCCATGTAGGTGTTGGGAATCAAACCTGGGTCCTTTGCAAAGCAACAGCAAGTGCTCTTAATCACCAAGCTATCTCTCTGACCCACATGCACACTTAATAAATACCTTTCTCCTTAATTTTCTAAAATTCACACAGCCCTTTTGTGAATTGACTGGACTATGGATTAAAAATAGTGTAGCTAAGAAAATGTTTTGGTGCTGGGGGTGGTGATGTACACCTTTAATCCCAACAGATGGAAGCAGGCAGACCTCTATGAGTTCAAGGCCAGCCTGGTTTATATATCGAGTTTTAGTGAGATCCTGCCTCAAAAAACCCCAAAGTTTAAAAAATTAAAATGTCTTGGGTTGGCAAGATGGCTCAGTGTGGGAAAAGGTGCTCATGGCACAATCTGGCATCCTGAGTTCCATTCCTAGAACCCACATCAAAGTGGAAGGAGAGAACTGACTCCACAAAATTGTCTTCTGATCTACACATGCACACTGGTATATACTCTCACATGAGCACCATGCATGTACTCGCGCGCGTGCGCACACACACACACACCACACTCTAATGATAACAAATACACATTTTTAAAAATGTCTATGATATATGTATATTGCAAGTTTGAGACATGTAAGACATTTTGTCTCTTTGGATGCAAAGGACTCAGAACCCAAGTCCTTTTCTCTTGCTTTTTTGAAATTTATATATTTCACTAGTTGACTGGTCATCCTAAGACAGTATCTCTGCCATTCTTGATACTGAGCATTCTCCTAGATTTGGAATTTTGTTGATAATCATTGATAGAACGACTTAATGAACAGTTAATGTTCTTTATAGAACTAATTGGAAATATTTTGGAGGGGTCCTTTTGCATGTAATGTTATGTTTACTATGAATATTACTAAAGACATAGTAATACATCCTTGCTCTTACAGTAATATGATAATCCATCCTTCGTCCTTTATAAAGAGGTAATCTTTTTTTATATTTTATTTATTATTTTTATGTGTATGTGTGCATTGCCTACATGTATGTAAGTGCACCCGTGTTGTGCAATGCCCATGGAGGTCAGAAGAGGCTCTCAGATCCCCTGGGACTGGAGTTAACGGACAGTTCTTAGCTGCCATATGGGTGCTAGGATTTGAACCTAGGTCTTCTGCAAGAACAACCAGTTTTCTTAACCACTGGGTCATCTCTCCAGCCCCAAGATAATCTTTTTCTAATTCAATTTTATGTATTGATTTGGCTCTTTGAGACAATCCCACTATGGAACCAGTGTTGGCCTTGAAATCACTGTAGTTTAGGCAGGCCTCAAACTCATGCCTCCCTAGTGCTGATGTTGCAGGTGTTATATGACCTGCCTTAAATTCAATTTTAACTTCAATCTTTGTATGTTTCTTTTTACTGATTCAGTTATTACTGAAGATTTATTAGGTAATGAAAAGGAGGAATTTTATAGGTGCTTCTAAAGTTTTACTCTTTTGAATGAAACCTTTTATATTTTAATAGTGAAGTATAATACAAATCACAAAATTGTAGAATGATTCAGTTAAGTTTTGTAGTATTTTGCTTCTAAATTTAAGCAATATAGAAAGGAAATTTTCAGTTATATTATGACCATGGCTATGCATTCCTAAACAAGTGTGTTGCATTCCTCAATGTAGTGTGTTGCATGCACTACTGAGCATAATGTGAAAAGAAAAGTGCCA